ATCGAAAGGTTCATGCGCATAGTACTTGTGGATGCCGGTACCCCCGTGTGGTTTAGGCAGACTAATACCCTTTCATCAATCACCTCCGCCGCCCTTTTACTGGTCATTGCTGTCTCATTATTCGCTTTCTTCCGTCACCTAGCCGCCCGCTTGCGCGGCCAATATGGTTGCGGGTCTTTCGGGTATCTTCTGTCATGCCGCTGTCCATCGCGCTAGACCTTTCTCCAACGATGCAGAGGCGTCTGCTCCTAGACGTTCCAAACACCTTAGTTTGACCTTCCTCACGGGTTTTAGCTGATCCCTATCCAGCTTATGCTCTTCCTTCTTATCAGCTAACACGATGACCCTCAAAGACAGTAAACACACTCACTTACAGGATTCCTTCTAGGCGGCTTCAACATCCGACCATCTGCTGCAGTCTGTTTCATCGCAACAACTTCAGTTCAGCGTACCTTTACAATCGAATGTTTCGCGCACTGTTATCCACGCCTTCTGATTAATAGTCTCTGCTCACTGGCCACGCACTAATAAAATTACTTTTTTGTATCTGAGGCTCTCAATGTGCCCGGTCACAACTTCCTAAGCTTCCTCGCATACAGTTTAGGCAGAATTTTACACCTACATTGGTCATTTTCTCCGCTCCCTCGCTGGCCACTTCTGTCTCCATATTACCTTGTTTACATCATCCAGTTGCCCAATTACGCGGCTACTCCGGTTATGGGCCTTAAGGGGATCGTCTTCTTCGCTAATAAACATCGTACTAGGCGTTTCACAGACAACGTTGGCCACGTTGACAGCGGCCCACTCGTCCAAGTTCATTGCCCATGTTTGATGGATGTGCGCCTTACATTGCGCTTCTTGGGATTTGTAAACGTTCACATTCTCCTGAAGGGGCACCCGCCCCTAGACGATGCAACCGCATGTGCCTGATATGTTTCATGGATATCGGCTTCATCCACTTCAGCTCATGTTCCTCCTTATTACCAACTAATTACAGGATTCTTGACATTAGCATACACGCGCACCTTTCCGTCGCATTTTTGGTTACTTCGACTTCCGACTACCTGTTGCTGCCTGCTTCATTGCATCAGCTCCAATTCTGCTTATATTCACTAATGACGGCTCTGTGTACGGTCATCTTCCCGTTCAGGTTAACTTCCCCGGCCTACTAGCCGGACAAACCTGAGCGTCCTTGCGTATGGTTTAGGCAATCTT